CCCACAAGAGCGAGCCGCCAATAAGAAGGTTTGTAAATGGAACAGAGTGAGATGCCAAGAAAACTCCATCCTGTCCAGGAACCTTCCGAGGGTCCCACAAAAGGTGAGCCGCCATTCAAACTCCAGCCGGCCCAGCAACCTTCTGAAGGTCCCACAAGAGCTAGCCACCATTAAGCTTTGGCCTGGCTAGGAACCTTCTGAGGCTTCAACAAGAGTGAGACGCCAAACTGTGGCCTGTCCAGGAACCTTCTGAAGGTCCCACAAGAGCGAGCCGCCAATAAGCTTTGGCCTGTCCAGGAACCTTCCGAAGGTCCCACAAGAGCAAGTCACCAATAAGCTTTGGCATGCCAAGGAACCTTCTGAGGGTTCAAGAAGATTGAGACACCAATAAACTCTTCGCCTGTCCAGGAACCTTCTGAAGGTCCTACAAGAGCAAGCCACTGAAAAACTTTGGCCCGTCTAGGAACCATGCGAAAGAGTGAATCGTCAAAAGACTTGTCTGTTCAGGAACCTTCCGAAGGTCCCACAAGTGTAGGACTTTATATACACTTTGATAGAACCTTCAGAAGGTTCGTAGATGGAACAGAGTGAGATGCCAAGAAAGCGCCATCCTGTCCAGGCACCTTCTGCAGGTTCCACCAGAGTGAGACACCAAACTCCTTCCTGTCCATGAACCTTCTGAAGTCCCACAAGAGTGAGACACCAAACTCCTTCCTGTCCATGAACCTTCTGAAGGTCCTACAAGAGTGAGACACCAAACTCCTTCCTGTCCATGAACCTTCTGAAGGTCCTACAAGAGTGAGACACCAAACTCCTTCCTGTCCAGGAACCTCCTACAAGAGTGAGACACCAAACTCCTTCCTGTCCAGGAACCTCCTGAAGGTTCAACCAGAGTGAGACACCAAACTCCTTCCTGTCCAGGAACCTCCTGAAGGTTCCACCAGAGTGAGACACCAAACTCCTTCCTGTCCATGAACCTTCTGAAGGTCCTACAAGAGTGAGACACCAAACTCCTTCCTGTCCAGGCACCTTCTGCAGGTTCCACCAGAGTGAGACACCAAACTCCTTCCTGTCCAGGAACCTTCTGAAGGTCCCACAAGAGTGAGACACCAAACTCCTTCCTGTCCA